TAGTGATGTAACTTTAAATACGTATACGCAGTTGAATGTGTTGATTGACTATACACTCTACAGTAACTGAAAAATGTTTAAAGGAACTAAATCACGAGGGTTTCCCATTAAAATAACATTATTTCAGTTACATTCCGGTATCAAAAACTCCCAAACCACCAGGTACGAGTTTTTTTGTCGCATAGTAGACAAGTTTGATCTTAAATAATTGAAATTGTTTCATCATTTTTTTACAGTTACACGCAGGCCAAGAACACCTACTCCCGGTATGTCAGCAAAGATTTTTTTCCTAAAAGCTTTTTTTGCTAGAAAAGGGATTTTTCAGAACCTCGCGAAGACTATAAGTGTCTATTTGTTGCTGATATGTACAATTTCAAAAATGACTCAAAAGCTTACGATAATGTAAGTATTTGAGTTTTAAAGAAAGTTAGACTGAAAAACCTAAAGTAGAATAGCTCTAGTTTACTTATTTTGTTTTTGATGAGATCTATTCAGGAGACAGCATTCATTGCTGAAGTTGGCCTGAGCTTCTTTGTTAGCAACAAAATCGACGCAACTGCTGGAGTGTGGGCATATGGCCACACCAATTTTTCGGATGTTCCAGAACTCAACGAAATGAAGACCACATATCACGCCTTCTTAGAGAACTTGGAAAAACTGGACTATACCAACATTTCAAACCCTTTAAATACGACGCAGTAAGTTGTGTGCACTTCGTTCACTCAGAATTGTCGTCGTTTACCATACACCTTATTTAATCACGCAAATGTTCTAGAGCAATCGAAGTAATCAACAATTTAGAAGCAAATGATGAAAAAGTGAACTGTATTGTTTTCTTCTCTGCATAGTAAGCCTTTCACTTGATTCAAAATGACCAAATTCTAAATTTAACAACTTTAGTAACAACACAAGCTTACTGCCTAAGCTGGATCCGCAGAAAGGGAGGATCAAAAGATTAGTCGGAGTTGGTCTTGATGGTAATGCTTTGTCTTCTTTTTTT